TAAAAAGCAAATTTACCTTTGAACTCAATTCTTTGACTTAGTATTTGTTAAAATTAACTTCACCTTTAATCAAATTTTCCTGTTTAGTGCTTAATTCCCACAGGGTATTATTGTAGGTGAACCAATGTTTTGCATTTTAGGCTTTAAAAACATAAGACCAAGACCAAATAGTAACCAATCTTGAAGTGGTTATTAAGTCTCTAATGTGTGCACAGCACCAAGCCAATGAAGCATATGGCCCACATTCTCTAGCATCTTGGATTCTATTGAGCCACACAAGGCAGTACCATTTTGCAGATCAAATGAAGAGTTTTGCATGTAGTTTTATGATGCTATATTCCTCACAACCTTCCCGTGAGCAGAATGTGATGCATCTATTGTGTCTTGCAAGGCAGTGGAATTGGTCACTGATCTCATTGTATCAAAAATTAAATCACAAGCACAGGAACATGAATCAGTAGTAAATATGCCCATAGGCTTTAGGCTTCTATTAAGCATGTTGCCAACAAGCTGTTTTAAGGCTAAACTCCCCTCTCCTTCTGCCCCGGCCCATTGTGATATGCCCCATGGGTGCCCTTGAACGTCTGATACTCCTCATTAGCTCATGTTTGGAATCCCCTTTATATACATCCTTTCATGCTCTGGATGTTTCCCCCCTACATTTATGCCTCAAGTTTCTGCTGTTAGTCAAATATCTCCATTAGATGAAGGAACTTAGAATGGCTGACTTAACTTTCTGTAAGTGGAGGTTCACTGGCTAGATCACGTGTCTTTGGTTCATAAGTGAATCTGCATTTATCAATCTTTATTCATCTACATGTGATTTTAATTTCATCTCTAGGTATAAGGTATATGTACTTGTGTATTACAAGTCTATGTACACAAGCATGCACATATGTGATCATGAACATGTATGCATGCATCTATGTCCATATATCCATACAGATAAATACTCAGAATGCCAATACATGGACAAACATAATATAACAATATTGTATAACATTCTATATTTGAAATTACATTTTTAGTTATTTTGCAAAAAAATACTAAAAACCCAAATGGCCAATTGTGTGACTTTCTTACATTTGACATTAAAATTGCAGTGTGTGTATGTGTGTAAGAGAGAGAGAGAGAGAGAGAGAGAGAGATGCTTATAGTTTCAGTACTTTAGAGATTGAGACAGGTGGATAGTGAATGAGTACAAGGCTAGCTTGTGCTACATAGCAAGATACTGTCTGAAAAAACATGCAATTTTCCCCCCAAGGTGTCTTTATTTAGTGTTGAATGGATGAGATTATGAGAAAACAAGACTGTGCTACCAGCTTCGCTCCCCAACCAGGTTCTGCACATATTCTTTCTGAGCTCAGGCTGCCATCTTGGATTTTCCTTCTCATCTCCTTGCCTTCCTGTCCCACTTGAGGAGATGGCACAGCTGCCTGGTAGCTCTCCAGGAAGGCAAGGTCCTGAGGTTGGATCCAGAGCTCAGCTGCATCCTGTGGCCTCAGAGGTGCTTGCTGACTGAGGAGCACTGGTGAAGGATTTCCCACACTGCCAGCCCTGTCTGAGCCCTTGCTTCCCTCCCGTCCCGTCCCTCTCCAGAGAGAGCTATTGGAGTGAAAGTCAGTTGTGATGTAGCTCTCCTGACCATCTTTTCTCAAGTGGAAGAAAAGGCAGCATCCCTTGGGCATGCACATGGCCACTCTGCGCCCTCTTCTTCCTTTCATCTCCTCCTTACTTCTGTTCATATAAGTTCACAGAGCCAAGTAGCCTTCCTCAGCATTCCAAAGGTAGAGCCCTGACACCACCAGGTCCCAAAGTCTGGAAAGCTCTGCTCAGAGGTGAGTGTGGAATTCCTTTTGCTCCCAACCCCTGCAGGGCTTACTGAAAAGTCAACTTCTGTTTGCTGTCTCCTCCCAATGCCCTACAAGGTCAGCATTTCCGACACTGCACATGCCACTGTCTTGCATCACTTCCTTTGGAACTTTTCACTGGCATCCCCTTCATTTGATTTAGATGGTGCCTTCTACACCTCTGCGTTGTGATATAAACTCGGTGAGGGTAGGGAGTATTCATTTTTCTTTGAGGTGTTGTTTCCACACCTGGAACAATACCTGACTGAGCGAATGACTAAGTAAAATCTCAAGGGTCCAGAGAATTCCATGCCTCGGAGGCCATTATTATGTGTGCAGTCATCACGATACACTGTTTTTGAGAAACAGTTGAGTAGACAAAAGACCCGATGCCAAAATTTTATACGCAATGCTGAGCAGAAGGGAAGAAAAAAGCATTTCTTCTTCTTTTTTCTTTTCTCCCTTCGCTGGGGAAAGGCCAGGAGACAGGCAGCTGATAGGAGGCTCAAAAAATACTTGAATCAATGTGTCAGGTGAGTTAATTCATAAGCACACTGTGGTAGCAGTTATTTTCCAAATCTGTGTGCTGAGCTGCGTGTTCTGGCTCTCACCCCTCCCCACGTCCCTCTGGCGGATGCCGGGCCCGTGTAGGAGCCATTTTTCTTTCCTGTTTGTTGAGAAGGCTCTCTGATCTCGAGGTTTGATTAGCAGCGGTCGCCACTCTCTTGTCCGTTCCTCCTCTTTCTTTTTCTCCTTGGCTTTCCCCTTCCTGAAGCATTTGCGGAGCCACTCCCATGAGCCCCTGCAGGTGTTCTGTAGCTGGGTAGGATGCAAGTGGGTGGGAGTGTGGAGAAGACAGTTGACTAATGGCTCCCTGGCTCCCTGGATGTAGTAAACAAATACTGGGTGGTCGGCGCTTGAGTGGGTGTCGAGAGTGTACCGCACGATTACAAAGGAAGAAACAGCTTCTAAAACACCGAGAAGCATTTACAGGGAAGATCGCACACTTTCCAAACAAGTCACTTGCGTAGGCAGGCCCAAACCAAACTGTGCGTCGGTGTCTGGTGAATGTGGCGAGGAGGACTGCCGGATGCTAATCAGTCCCACACTTACAATGCCAGCGTTCAGTGTATTTTCTCTTTTATTTCTTTCTCTGGAAATCAGTATTTAAGACAAACATCAGAAAGAATGAATTATGGCGCTTTCTCTGAAGCTGCTGAGGGATGGAAGGGTGTGACTTGTAGACCGGCTTCCCTGGAAGGAAGGTCTCCATGCTTGTTATCATTACCTTGTGGTCTTTTCAGATCTGCGTTAATTTACTACGCTGTCTCTCACTGTGCTCACTACCAGCAAAGCTGACTGGCCTCCCTTAGCAAACTGATAACTGAGAGCGTGCTTTGGGCCTGTGTGTCTTCACACTTGTGCCCGATGCCTTGGTGAATGCTGGGAGAGTGAGGTTAGAAGGCCAAGCTCACTCAGCATTTTCTCTGCAATAAAAATATAACCATTTATTGGATCACTTATTTATGGCAATAACTAAAGTAAAGGTCTTAGGACTTTTAGGAATTTATGGAGAATATTAAGGAAAGTGTGGAGAGAAAATTAGATATTCCTAAGCTGAAACTGATGAATTTCCAAAAAATTTGTTTTTAATCAAGGTTTTAAATTTTTTTTTTTCTTTCAAGCTCACCTGGCCAAAGAAAATCTTCCAGTAGCCTCAAGGCTAAGGATACTTGGCAGGATTGAGTTTATTAATGTGGGTGCCCTTCAGTGAAATGGTCCCACTAAGAGAACTTTCAAACCTATTCAGGATCCACATTTGCAACAAACCCATAATAATTTAACTGTTAACTTGAGGCTTTTACTTCTGAATGCAAAACAGACATGTGGTTCCATTGTTCTTGATTTGGGCTTTAGAAAAAAAAAGAAGATATTAATGTGAACACACAGTCATTAACAAAACTAGTGTTTCGCTGGTGGTACAAACTGTCACTGGACAAGCAACAGGAGATAGACTTTGTAGAGTTTATCTGTGGTTGTTCCAGCCCCAGCTCCCTACTAGTCTGTTTCTTTTTAACTTACTGGCAGTGCTGGGATTGAACCCAGGCTTTGACCTTGCTAAGGCTACGTCCCAGTCTGCTCCACTAACACCCCCCCCCCCTTTAAAAAAAAAAAGACAGACTCTCACTGTGTAGGTCAGGCTTATCTGGAACACGGTCCTCCTGCCTTACCTTCTGAAGGCTGGGATTACAGGATTGTGTCCCAACACACACAAGCATCTTCATAGCTCTGCACACAGCATACCGAGGGTCAGTGTGAGGAACTTTCTAATTCTGAAGTGTGGCCTTCTTTATAAATATTTTCATAAGTATTTATCTACTCGACATCTGTCAGCGTACAGTGTAATCGCATCCATATGCTTTATTGTATGACATAGAAGGGAATTTTGCACAGGCAGGGCTGGCTGTTGATTTGTGTCCCTCCTACTCAGGGCAGTCCAGGCTCCAAGTATTGCTTTTTCTCTGACAAGATGGGCCTTGTACTATATTTATAATATTAAATATAATATTTAATTTCCCTTTTCTACTTTTTTCTTCTTCAGTAGTGGCCATTTAAAAAGCAGCAGTGATGGTATTAATAGTAACCATTTTGAAATACTTATAGTACCAGTTAGTCACACACATTTACTGGGTCATTTGATCTTTTCCCTACATTCAGTTAAATAACTTCTGTTGTTATCATCATTTAACAGATGAAACCTGAAAGGCACAGAATGGTTAGGTAGCCTCCTGAAGACCAGACAGGTCACAGGGAAAGCTTCTGGACCACAAACTGCTTAGTTCCCTCCCCACCCCCATGCCTTTCAGGGTAATTCTTTCTGAGCGGTGGGCTGTGCACGGCAACATTGCCTCCAATTCCAGCAGCTTCTGGGGCCCCTGCCTATCCTGAGAGGGATCTGTGATTCCTGTTTACCCGCCCCCCTTTCTCTGTGTGTAGGTGTACATATGAATTTTCCTCTTTCTTGTCAGGTCAAGTACAAAAGAGATTTTGAAGAAAGTAAAGGGAGAGGCTTCAGCATCGTCACAGACACTCCGGAGTTGCAGAGGCTGAAGAGGACCCAGGAGCAAATCAGTAATGTAGGTGCCCCTTTTCTTGATGATAAGGTGGCTCTGGTATGTGTCTCTGGATGTGAATGTGAGATAAGTAAGTGTGAAGCCTATCTGTTGCTGAGTGGTATTTAGTCTACTCGTAAAATATGCCAACTTCACCTGTTAAATCCTTGCCCTCGGATTTCTTCACGGTTATCTACAGCCTAGCAGTTAAAATTCAGTATCTTCTTCATATATTTTGAATATCTGCAAGCCTTCAAATTTGGTCAAAATTAAATGCTTGTAATTAAAAATTCTAACAGTTTTTTTTTCCTGTAGATAACCATATAAAGTTAGTATATACTTTGAGTATATTAAAAAGAAATCTGGTATTTTCTAATTATGTGTATATTTTACATATCTGTAAATCATAAGTTACATTTAATTTTAGAAATAAACATTTGTATATGTAGTTACTTTCTACTTGGAAGCCACATCTTTTGAGTAATATATTTTCCAGAGTAACAAAAATTGGTACTGGCAGAAGTCCAAGGCACATTAGAATGTGAATTTAGTACTTACTAAAGTTAAATAAATGGTTCATTCTTAACTTTTGTAATTCATATTTGTGATTGTATTTCTCCCAAGGTATTATATGAAATGTGTCAAAAATGTATTTTTCTGCAAAGGAGTAGTTTAATGTTAGATATCAGACCAGAAATCAATAGCTGTGTATGATATAGTTGTGAGCAAACATGAAAAGCTCATTACTACTATTTCATGAGATTGCGGCTGTCACTTGTACAGGTATTACAAGTAGTGTATATACATACTTTGTGTATGTAGATGTTATAAGCAATATAGCTCTAATTTCTAGGGAATACATATAGTTAGCAGATGGATTTATATTTGCTGATATTGGGCCGTGATCATGAGATACATGTTCATATAGGTATACTATTTGCAGCTAGAATTTAGCATGTAATTTGTGAAAATGTTATTTGTCAAAACTTCAAGAACATAAATATTTGATGTTTAAAATGTTATTTCAAGCCTGGGAAGAGGTCTTTTTTTTTTATCACATTCTCTAAGGTTTATCCTGTTTGGTCTTTATGTGGACATTTTATATTAGAATTGATTTTTTCATTTAAAGAGAAGGAATTGACTTCTAAGAACTTATGATATCCGTCTCTTGGTTTTTCTTATGACTCTTTAGAGTGCCAATAGTGGATGATAAAGATAATTACTGTCATTTTTCCCATTCATTCTTTGCCCAAATCAAAACCCATTCTTGTTTTAAAAAAATACAAACTAGGGGTGTATTTCATGGCTAGTTCTGCTCAGAGTTTTAAAATGTTATACCCACTACAGTTCTATCTCAAATGTTCAACTAGCATAGAAATTTATTCCTCAAAGAACTAAACATCTCTACTTAAGACATCCACATGACAGCTACATGAGGATTGCAGCTCATTCAAAGGTAAGCCTTTTCATGTATGTTCAAATTAAGCCAATGTTCATAAGTAATTAGAAAATAACTGATCATTTCACCAAACTTTATCATTAGCAGGAATATACTTTATATTCAATGCCAGAGGTCGTTTGCAGATCCATTCTTAACTATGCCAAACTCTTTATAATGCAGGTATGTATTAATCTATAATTATCATGTACATTGCAGGCTATTCAAAACAGCAATGAGATATGGCTTATGAGATAGACAATGGCCAGCTTCAAAAGCATCTAATTTAGAGCATGTCTTAAAAACACTCCCCCTTTGCATTCTCTTGGTGTTAGCAGCTGCAGTAATCACAGTGGTTGTCCTTTTAGCCTCGATGAGGCCTATCAATAGCTGCATTATAGTAGGGAAAAGATTTTACAATATTTCTGTTAAGGCCCTACTTCTGCAGAGGGGAAGCTGCAAAAATCTTCTGAGGTCTGGTGAATTTATTACTCATTTATAAGATGACAACTTCATGGAATTTTTCCGTTCTGCACTGGGTTTTCCATATTACTGCAGGGTCTCTTGCTGTGAAAAATCTGACTGATCTGAAAACCACCACATCGGTTATTCTAGTTCTCCAGACCACTTTCATTTAAACCCATTGAACAGTATTTGGACAAAACCCACGCAGATAGTTTTGACTGTGGCCTGGGTTGTTTCTGTTTTGAGAGGAAGAAGTGAGCAAGTGTCTAAACTGGGAAGACTCTAGTATCTTTCTGCTAGAGCTGGTTGGGTGGATCTCGCCCTGATGACAAGAAGAGATGAGGTTTGTGAGTTGAGTCTTCCGTTAGTCCCCAGGTGATAGGGAAGCTGAGTGATCATTATAGTCTATATTTTTCTTTTTGATCTACTTTATAGAATATACTTCCAGGTCATTTTACCTTTGGATATTTAGTGGCTCTTTCTAAGCTGCTGTTAATCTCCTTTGGACTGAGGAAAGTATAAAGACATGAAACTGTGAATTTAATAACTCCTAGGTGTTTGGAGTAATATGTTATGGATGAGTGGGCATTTTTGATTGCTTGTGTGTGTGTGTGTCTGCCACTGTTATGAAAAAAATTTTCAGACACTCTCATGTTCATTTGTCTAGGAATTGAAGTCATTTGGAAATATCAGCTCAGTCTGCAAATGTTACAGGGGTGTGGGATACAGCAGAACCCTAAATTTCGAATTTTGCATAATAAAAGAAGTACATGTGGGCTAGCCCTGCCTCCTTTATTTTGGTACCCATAAAGACAATGTAGTGAACACAGGAGATGTATTAAGTGCTGGCATTTAAGGTGCCTTCTGCCACCTTACCCAGGAGAGCTGCGGAGAGACCAAGAAAAGAGGTGGGGCTTGGAGTTTACACACTCATAGGAAAGAAGCAGACGTGGCTTTTAAAATAAAGTTCTCATTTTTTTTCCCCCAGTGATGTTCTGATGAGGTCTTCATTTTAATTCAAGATGTTCATATCAAAGGAAGTTTGACTGGCTGTGTATGCTTTCGGGGCTTAGAGACTTTTTTTTTCTTTTCTTTTTTTTTTAAGTGGGAAGTCTGGATATTCAGCTGAAAAATCTAATAGAGGACAATGTTTACAAGTTCAGGTTTTGTTCCAGGTCAGTCTGCAGCAGCATGCAGCTGGGGAGCTTTGTGGAAAGTTCTGTCTTAGGATCTCAGGGGTCTACGGGTTTTCACAACTGAGTCACTCTCTTGTCATATGGCTCCTTTCACCCCCAAACCCTTACATCTCTTTACATGTTTATTAACCATGGTTTAGGAAGGTGCATGTACAGAAGTGAATCGAGGACTATTGAGCCTACGGGGAACATTAAACCATCTTTAATCTCATCCATATGGAGATTGTTGTTACTGCTCTCGTTTCAGGGGGTTCCCACCCTTCACCCTCTAAACAGGGTGGCAAGGCAGTGTGCTGCTCAGCACACATTGCAGGGACTTGGTGTGGTCTGCCAGAGATAACTGATGGATTTCCCTGTGCTGTGTATGCACACATAGAGACTGCACTTTAATTAGCTCACACAGTCTGGGGATGAATTGGGAAATAAAATGGTAAAATCCAGCCCCAAGAGGTTTTTAACAGCCTTCATGACATAGATAAAAACTAGGTGTTTATTTTCTAATTGATCATAGGTGGAAGAAAAGTACCATATGAAGAGGAAAGAAAAAGAAACCAGTGAGAGAGTCCTAGGCTTTCTCAGACTGATGGAAATAGTAAGTGTACCATTATCAGATCTGCCTGTCCTCGCTGCGCAGTGGGAAGAGTTTCGTGTGCCTATGTGAGTGTTCTTATACCATTGCCTACCAGACTATTTCTCTTACTCTGTGAGTGCCTATAATTTTGATTATGTACCGTTTCTCAACTATACTTTTTTTTGCTACCACTTGCAAACCAGCATACCCATTCATAAGAAAAGCTTGCTTGCTTTGCAAGAATAGCTAAGATCAAAAGCTGTCTGTAATTTGATACTGAAATGTAATTAATTCTAACTCTTTTGATATAGCCACATAAATTTTCATTGACTTAGAATGTAAAATAAATTATACACCCATTAATAAACTCACAAGGACACTGCTGATTTAGTTCCCCGGGACTTTATGAGTTAGCTTCAGAAATATTGGATTATTGGAACTAAATAATTGAATACAGTGTCTATGGACTATTAAAAGATTTGATTCAAAGTTAAGTTGAATGTGAGGGTGAGCGTGAGAGGGTAGGGGCGATTATCTAGGGATTTGGTCTCTGTTTGTAATTTAAATAAATCATTTTGACAGAGACTGACTGTAACCATGTTCAGCTGCTGACAGTGTGAAATTGAGTTGTATGGTGGACAGAAGACAAGCAGTCAAGAGAAATCCCCAAAGGTAAAATTTGTTATGTAATTGGGTCAACTCATGCATGAGAAATGCATGCTAATTGTAAACTGGTGGCAAAATTACCCTGTAGGAGGCAATTAGGTCTTATATGAATCCAAACAACTGACATGGGTAACTTGCTTTCTTTTTGTGTACAGCAAACATGGCAGTGGTTTTTGAAAGGAGAGAAAGATAAAAATTAGAGAGTCATGCAGCATACAAATGGATATTTTTTGTGAATTCTCCTCCTTATATAAGAAATATAGCATGCATCATTAAGTAAAAATTTACATGAAAGCTCTCGATTTGAAGTAGTTCAGTACACACTAATTTGTAAGGAGAATGGGGTGGTATTTTGTTATGACCCATTGCTAGTTTTATTAACATAATCAATTAGTTATGAAGTTGATGGGTAAGAACTGAGCCCTTGAAGGGGTGTAGTTTTAGAGTGAACCTCTATGTTGCTCGAGCAGCCTGCATTCTACCTCCAGCTCATCTCCACTAGTGACTCTGATGTGATCCAATGCAGCAGTGGGTCACTAACACGTCTTCTGAAGGCAGAGATCAAGTATGTCAAAGAAAGTAGTGGGACAATAGCGCATATTTTTCTTATAATGTCTAACACATGTTCATGAATAGTTCATGCGTTTTGGAACACTTTGACACACTGTTTAATTAGACCCTCTGAACAACCTCTCTCCTCAGGGAAAGGATTTCTATAAGGAACACTTAGACTTTCCTGAGAAAAATATATGGAAAATTACCTTTTGGCCTTTTCTTTCCCATTCATGGTTTCCCTCACACCTGGCTTTGCTTTATTTTTTTCATGTAGGGCAGAACTTCAAAGGCTGATCTCTGCTTTTTATCCCCAATTTTTTAGCCACAGTCACTTAAAGAAACAAATATGTCTCAGACCAGTAATTACTTGTGCATGGCAAGAACAGGGCTTCTTGCTAAATAGCCTTGTCTTGAGGGGTGGTTGGAGAAGAACCACCACAATGCGAGCATTAGCACCTGTGACTTCTGCTTGGAGACAGAGATGAAGGGTCCAGGGATGATTTCTTGAGGTGTTGCTTTTGTGAAAGTCTGTCTCCCCGTTTCTCTTTCTTCCGTCCCTCCACATCCGGCCTCTCTTCCTGCTTCACTTCTGTGGCAGCCCCATAATTGGTCATTTCTCCTTCCAAGCGCCTCTTGCTCTTTCCGTTGTATCTTAAACAGCATTGTCAGATGACTCTTTCCAAAGTATCTGCTTCACCAAGACCTTGCTGTGACCCCTTAAAAAGCCCTCCTTTGGACCTCCCCTTTGCGCAGGATGAAGTGTAATCTCCTAGGCCCTTTATCGGGCTCCAGTGACCTTTTGCAATGGTCTGGACTATTTCCGGCCTTATCTCCGCTGCTTGTCAGCACTGTTTGCCCATTTCTTCTAGGCCTGGGCTTGAATCTGTTCTGGACTTTCCTATGAGTCATTCTTCTTGTTTGGGCCAATTTGACACTGCTAGGAACTGAAGTCCTGACCCCCTGACCCCAGGTGTGCACTCACCAGACAGCTGGTGATCTTCCTCACCTCTGGAACAGTTCCAGTGCTCTGAGGAGGGAGTACAGTCATTTTCTACCATCATGTCACACATTATATTCCACATGTTGGTTGTAATTAGTATTTTATGTCCCTAATGGTTTTACTTCTCTAACTTCAAGAGAGTGAGAATCATGTGCTCTTTTATTTATTGTTTCATAATCTCCAAGAATGCACAGCACGACACATTGTCTCCTTTGTTCAGGGCATGTCCCAGTCTATTAGTTGGATTTCTGGAGTAGAGTCTTGATTCTTCTTGCCCCATTCCAGGTTATTCTCCACATGATTTCTTGCAAATTATTCCTAAAATGAACATTGGATTGTGTCATGGTCTCTCTTAGAATCTGGCCTTGGCTCCCTACTGCCTTCAGGATAAAACGCAAAATACTTTGCATGGAAAGTGAGACTATCCCTGGTTTAGTGAGAGCTGAAACTTGGAGCTTTGGTGGTGCTCGGAGCTCCTCAGACTTATGCTTCTGATGAGAAAGCTCCTTGCCTCTGCTGGCTCAGCGCTTCCCTGTTCAGTCTTGGCCCTTCTTTCTATCTCATTGTTCTTGTCCTCTGCTTCCATAGGACCACTGGTGTTTTCTCCTCTGCCCACGTTGGACTTTAGAAAGGTGTGATACAGCACAGAGCTAAACTGGAGAACAAAGGAATTGACCCCTGCCCCCATCATGTTTTGGACCAGTTTGACTTTCTACATACTTGTCAGTCCTGGCTCATAAAATCTTTCCTAAGATAAATCCCACAGTAAAGGGGGGAGGGCTAGTTCTCTCTCTCTCTCTGAATATTAAATAATTAATGTTATGTCATGGCCACAGTTTCCACTCCCTCTTCTCTTCCCAGCCCCCCAACCCCCTCAGTTCCCACCCCCTAGTCCACTCCTCCGTTTCTGTTTAGGAAAGGGCAGGCTTCCCATGAATATCAACAAAATATGGCATATCAAGTTGTAGTAAGACTAATTACCTCCCATGTTTTAAGGCTGGGCAAGGTGACCACTATGAGGAGTAGGGTCCCGAAAGCCTGTTAAAGAGTCAGAGTACCAGATCTCCAGTGCCCAGACTAGTGCTTGGTATGTAGCCCATGCCCAGTAAGTGTGTATTGAAAAACCAAGTGAGGCAATCATCTGTAAAATAGTAATGCATTTTGAGTCTTCTTTCTCATCAAAACCCCTCTTTAGAGGGGTCTTTAGTTTTAGAAGTTACTTTGAATTTTGTCATTCTTGTTTATATTGCTTGATAATACTCTCTCTGTGTGTGCGTGCGTGTGTGCGCACATGCACACACACACACACACACACACACACACACACAGTACTTAAATATGTGGCAACTTTGATAGTTTTATTGGATGACTGTAGCAATACTTCTTCAGTAAAGTATGATCCATGGCTTCCTACTGTGTCACCTAAGAATTTAACTATATTGAAAATATAAGAACTACCTATGTTCTAGAACATTGTAGCCAGAGTATCAAAACAAACAAACACCAACACCACCAATAAAACAACAACAACAACAACAACAACAACAACAACAACAACAAAAACCCCAAAACTCCAAAACAAACACCACAAAAATTTACAAGAACTGCTTCAGCGGTGTACAGTTTCATAGTGCCCTGGCAAAGCACCCGCAGAAGCCATGCAAGGGAGGAAGGAGTTATTTGGCTCCAAGGATCCAACCTATCATGGTGGAGAAAGCCGAGGAGAGCGGCTGAAGCGGTAGAATATTACAGCTTCTTCAGACCATGGCAATTCAAGGAGCAGAGAGCTCCAGTCAGACCAGAAGCATCTATCCCCTTCAAGGTCTGCCCTTACCGGTGTATGTATGCCAGCTAGGCACCGTGTCCCCAGATTTCCATAACCTTCCAAAACAGCACTGCCAGCTGGGGGAGCCAAGTATTCAAACACAAGTGCCTCAAGGTAGGAGGAACATTTCACATCCAGACGATAATGAGTTGACATTGCAAAATACCACAGGCTGGCTGGGTGCTTCAAGGAACAGGGGTTTATTTTCTCACTGGTCTAGAGCCTGGGTGTGTTAGGTCAAGGTTGAGTGGGTTGGCCACTAGTGAGGACTTTCTTCCTGGCTTGTAAACTATCACTGCCTCGTGCCCTTGGGTCTTTCTGTGATCTTTACTTGTATGCAGGTGTGTGTGTGTGTGTGTGTTGGGGGGGCTCTGAGGTCTCCTCTTCTTACAAGAGCATTGGTCCAGTGAGGTTAAGGCTCTCCCCTTATGACCCTCATTTTACTTTGGTTTAAGTTCTTTTCTTTCTTCCTTTTTTCTTTCTTTCCTCCTTCCTTCCTTCCTTCCTTCCTTCCTTCCTTCCTTCCTTTTTTTTTTTTTTTTGAGACAGGGTTTCTCTATGTGACAGCCCTGGAAGTTTCTCAAACTCACAGAGATCCGCCAGCCTCTGCCTCTCAAGTGCTGGCATTAAAGGCTTGTGCCACCACCACCTGACTTGTTATGAGCATTTTTGAGGGCAAGCTAAAGTTCAATTTTTTTTGTTGTCTTAGTTTTTTTGTTTAGTTTGGCTTGGCTTTGGATTTAGAATCACTGTCTCTCTTTGTTGCTCAAGCTAATCTCAAATACCTGTGTTCAGATGATCCTCCTGTCTCAACCTCCTGAGTCACCGAGACTGTAGGCATGGTCTATTGTACTTCAATTTTATGCTTGAAACCTTTAAAACAAGTGCTTTGTCTATAAAGAATAAGTTAGAAATGGAAGTTGCCTCCTGAGTGTCTTAAATGAGTACGCATGTATGTGAAGTAAACTCTAGCTGTGGACATCACATTACACCAGGCCTTGTGGGTTTAGAAGAGGGAAACAAGTTCTTTTTGTATGCCTTTCATTTTCACACTAGGACATATGGAGTGGACTGGTGTGGTCTTATCAAAGGTAGAGGGTCTAGTCAATGGGTTATGAAGCATCAAAAGCAAGGGAGGGTTTTGTATGTCTCAGCACGTCAAAGGTTGGGACATATGACATACACATGTCAGGGTGCAGGAGAGATCCTGTTACTAACTGGGGGTTGGGTCAGGATTGACAGAGGAGCTACTCTATTTTCAGGCATGTCTATTTTGGGTGTCTATAAATACAAATGAGGATTTGGAAGAGAAAGCCACTTTGAGAATGTGTTAACTTAAACATTTTAAAGTGTTCCTGTGTAAATACTTAGGTGATGGGGAATATGAGAAATGAAACAGGCATGACCCTTGACCTCAGGAAGCTTGTAGTCTCTGAAAGGCTAAAAGTTAATTGTCATAGCAATACTTTACACAGAATTAGACAACACATCTACCCAGCTGTGATTAATGCTTCACAAAGGGAGATAGTATGCTAAGATGAGAAGAATAACTGTCCGGTGTTTGGGAGATGAAGAAATAGAACTTTTGACCTTACTATTAAAAACTATTTAAAAATGGTCTTACTG